CATTTTGTATACATATTATTGGCTTTCAACTAGAAAAGTACTCAGAGCATCCATTTCTGTAGTACTTTTAGCTGTTTCTGACTCTGAAAAGAATACTTGAGTGTAAGCAATGTAGTTATCAAGTAGAGATAGATCACTACTGTCATCTAGTGGCCAATTGATAAAAGACAAACTAAATCTCATGTCGTTAGATACTTCTGACAAAGGAACTACAATAGTTTGGGAAAGTAACTCTAAAATAATTTTAATTTTAAAAAATTATATGCATTTGTGGTATGTAATACACTGTTCTGCAACTTGTACATCTTACGTGTGGCTGAATCAAGCTAATCAGCACATCCAACACATCATATGTATGCTTTATATAGTGAGAATATGTAAAATCCACATTTGTAGCAAATGTTATCAACTATAGTTATGACATTGTACAACAAGTCTCCAGAATTTATTCATCATATCCAACTAAAGTTTTACATCCTTTGGCCAATACCTTATGTATGTGTACGTGCATGAACACACAAACACACACACACACACACACACACACACACGCACCAGTCTTCAGTCTTTGGTAACCATTCTACCATGTTTCTATGATGTTGAGATATTGTTGGATGTTTGGTTATTTGTTTCTGTGTTTGAGACAGGGTCTCCTGTAGCCAAGGCTAGCCTTGAACTCACTGTATAGCTGAGGACTCCCAACACCCCTGCCTCCAACTCCCAAGTACTGGGATTGCTGGCCTAGTTTGACATATTTTAGATCCCATATGTAAGTAGAATGATATGTTATTTGTCCCTTTGTGTGTGGCTTATTTCCCTTAGCATAATGTACTCCAGCTTCAACCATTTTTGTCACTAACAGAAGGGTTTTTGTATGATTGAATAATATTTATATAGTCATGTATATTCATATACAACACTTTCTTTATTCATCCACTGATAGGTATTCAGGATGATTCTCTCCCTTGGCTACTCTGACTAATGCTGCTGTAACATAGGCATGTACCTTTGCTATACCGATCTAAGTTCCTTTAGAAATGAGACTGTATGTAGTTTTATTTTTTAAGGACTCTACATAATGACTGCGGTGGCACAAGCCTTTATTCCCAGCACTCAGGAGGCAGAAGCAGGTCGATCTCTGTGAGTTCAAGGCCAGCCTGGTTTACATTGTGAGTTCCAGGCCAGCTGGGGCTACAGGGAGAACAGGTCTCAAAAAAAGACTAAATAAATGAATAAATAAATAAAATAAATAAATAAATAAATAAATGAACAACTCACATTTTCAATGACAACACAAGAGGGTTGCCTTTTCTCTACACCCTGGCCAATTTATCATTTGTTTCATGATAGGATTCTCTACACCCTGGCCAATTTATCATTTGTTTCATGATAGGAGTTGTCGTAACTGGTATGTGCTAATAATTTTCTCTTCCTCTGATAAGTGTGGGTGAACATTTTTCTTATACCTTTTGGTCATTTATGTCTCTTAAAGAATGTCTGCTCAAAGCTTTGCACACATTTAACCAAGTCATCTTTTTTTTGTTACTTAGTAGTTTGTGACTTTTTCTATTTTTTTTTTTAACCCATTATTTAATACATGGTTCTCAAACATTTCCCCCGTTCTGTTTGTTGTCTCTACTCTGTTGATTATTTCTTTACTGTGCTACTGTACATCAGAGTTTTCATTTGATGTTACCTTATTTGTCTATTTTTGCTTTGTATTCTAGAGTCACAAGAAATCTTATCACAGACCAATATTAAGAAGCAATCCTTCTAAGTTTTTCTTCTTTAGTTTACAGTTTGTGAATATATTTAATTTTTAAATCCATTTCTAGTTAATTTTTATATAAAACTCTGAGATGAGTCTAATTTCATTTTGTAAGTGGAGATTCATTTCTTACTATATCATTTCTTAAGAGAATGTTTTCTTTCCCTGTTCCTATTCCTAGAAACTCTGTGAAAGATAGTTGGCCACACATGTGGATTTATTCCAGGCTTTTCATTGGTATCAATTCCAGTACCATGTTTTGATTACTGAGGCCTGGCTATTGTTTTATGATCAGGTAGCACTGTGCCACCAGCTTTGTTTTTTGGCTCAGCATTGCTTTGATTATTTGGGTCTTTTGAGGTTCCATACAAATTTTTTTTATTATACTTTCTGTTTCTTCAAAAACTACCACTGGAATTTTGATTTCAATGAATCTACAGATAATTTTGGATAGTATGACATACTAAGAATTAACACAGTAACATGTTTTATGAAACCATTTGAATACTGTATAAATCCAAGAGGGGAACTTTCAAAAGTGCCAAACTGTTAATTGATGGCTTGGATATTCAAAAACAAAAAAATAGATTTTTTTGCATGAGCCAAGCAATTGCCAAGCCCTCCCCAAACTTTTTTGACAGATCGTTAATGTTAATAAACTCCCAGTCATCTCAGAATCTCATTTCCTTATGATTATTTTATATCACAGTATTGCATATATTCAATTCTTTGTAAGTTTTAAAAGTAAGAGATATTACTACTTTAATCTTAAAAGGATTATTCTACAACATTATATGTCAGAGCATTTTTCTCAGTGAGAAACTTTGATAACTTCTGAGATCCCCTCTAACTGGATAACTTTTTAATGTAATGGTAGAATGGAGAAAAATAACTTGAAGTTTGAATTTGGGGTATAATTTAAACAGCATAAAGTCTATAATATATATTAAAATATTGTTATGTCTTTGGATTAAAGAAAATGTTAATACAATGTAGAAAGTAAATATTAATCTCATGCACTAGCATCATACAGCTTTACATTCTTCACGTTACAAAATTATTGTTTATCTAAATTTACAGAATTAAAATAGCACAAAACACTACACCCTATGCCATACCAATAGTCTTGTTTAGTTCAAAGACACATGAATTTCAGAACTACAGTTTATTGAAATATCAGTCTCCCAAGAGCATAGTTCAAATTTCATTTATTATTCTATACTGAGTATGTAAGAGCTGTTGGCTCTTCAGTTCATGAATCATCATGCAAATAACAGTTGTGCATCATTATCATTGTCTGATCATGTACTTCCAAGAGCACTGCTTATGGGGCACTGAATGTGTCTTACGCATTTTAAATAGGGACAGCAGAATCTATTGTCTCTATGTCTCCTAGAGATAACCCACATGACATTTTACAAAAGTAAAACTGACAGAGGGTATTAGCCTATAAAGATGAAAGTACAGTAAGGACACGTGACTTGATAATGCTGTGAAATGTCTGTGAACAGCAGATCAGAAAACCAGTGAACAGCAAAGCAAAGATGGGAGACACCTACACCTGCGTGAAGTACAGGTCAGAGGTATGATGCAAAATCCTGACAAACAGAAAAACAAGATGAAGTCACTTCAACAGGCTTCTAACTGAATGTGAACAGAGATGTGAAAGCTGACTGGAATGCTGACACTGCACTGCATCCTTGAAGAGCTGTAGCTACATAGCAGGGAACACAGTGAGGCTGGGTGGGAGATAAGGAAAGGGATTGTGATGAAAAGGATACAGTGCCCCAGAGGAAGGAACACCTGCAAAAACTTCATATTAGAGGAACTTTTCATGATATTTCATGACATTGAATGTACAAACAATAGATGCTACATTGTTGAAAAGGTGCAAATTTAGAAAGGAATGTGACAATTCATCATAGCATTGAAAAGATGCTTGTGAGTGTCATAGTTGTTGAATGAGAAAGTCAACACTATCTAAAACACTCTTGACAAAATTTTTCAAAGAAATTTAAATGCTTTGTGATATTTTAAAAGAGAGGTGTAGAGACTCAGGTCTGCTGATGGACGACGAAATGATTGAAAGCAAAGGACCAAACTCAGGTGGAGAAAGGCAAGTTTAATTCTAAGAGTACCTCTATATACCTAATGAGTAGGGTCAGCCAAGAATATAGCATGCAAAACATAAATCAAGCAAAGTTCAAAGTAAAGGGTGTTTTTCTTTTCTGTTACTAACCAAACCCTTTCCCAGAGCTCCAGTCTGTGAGAAAGGAAAACACAAGCCCATCCACTATCATTCTTATTATCCCAAGGCAGTGTTCTGCCCTTGACTGGGAGGCGGTGTTCTGCCCTTGGCTGGGAGGCTGTTTTCTGTCAATGTCCAATCCCTTGTTTGCAAGAGACAGCTGGATTCAGTCTTGTCCTTGATTCACCTTCTGCAGAACTGAGCTCTATCAGACGGGTATATTAGTTACTTCTCTGTTGCTGTGATTAAACATCGTGAACAAGGCAACTTATAGAAGGAAGGGTTTATTGGGTTAACGGTTCCAGAAGGATAAGAGGCCATCATGGCGGGGGAGGCATGGCAGGAGGCAGCTGGAGCTGAAAGCTGAGCACTCATATCTTCAAGCATCTGCAGGAAACTGAGACAGACTGGAAGTGAGGTGAGGCCATGTACTCTCAAAGCCCACCCCAATGATGTGTTTCCTCCAGCAGGCCACACCTCCTAAAGTTGCCATGACCCTCCCCAAACAGTGCCACCAGCTGACCTCATGTTCAAATACTTGAGCCTTTGGGGGGATTACCTCATTCAAACCACCACAAGGATGTATTACATAATATTAGTTATACTGGTTTTTTTTAAATTTCACTGTACATTTATAAGCCACAGTAAGAGAGTTTCTAATGCTTTGATAAAAAATTTTAAGGAATACAGAAAAACTGCTATTTTTTCCCACAGACTATTAAGATCTCTGCCTACTTTGAGCTCATGGTCATTTCTATGACTATAGACTACTGCAGAGTAAGATGTGTACTCCCAATGCCTAAATTTTCCATTCAGCTTTTCATCATTGCAAGTATGAATCATTCAGAAATTTTGAGCTATTACCCCATTACTGGTATAACGATCCTTTTTTGAATATAGTTCATAAATTGCCTATAATGTCATGATATGGTGATGGATTCCCTTTCTCCCGACCAAATCAGATATATAGAAAACATTATGTACTTGGAAGTGGTAACTGAACTAATATGCCACTAACTCTTGGGTCCATGTTCAATTGATCAGTTATATCCAAAAGTTCTTCCTGAGAAACATCCCTGGGTGTTAGAATGAGTTCGCTACAGATACCTGGAAACAGAGAAAGCACTTTACTAAGACATGGCTCTTGTTAATAGAGTATTATACCATGCATGATTGGTTTCCTCTGTTCCTGCCTCTCTGAAAGGAAAGGCTCTTCTAGAAAGTCAGTAGTCAAATCACCATGAGGAGGGTGATTTGAACAATACAGACATTTTCTCATGACTTCTATGCATCCTTTGGCTAACACTCCAGGTGAGAGCTTGCACTGGTCTAGGATAACCGCCTGTCAGTAGATAGGAGGAGGAGGCAAAGATAGAGGAAAGAGATGAGGTCTATAATTCAATTAATTAATTCAAATGTAATGAACACATGTCCTTTAAATGCAAAATAGTCCTATTGCCTCTCACATAAAATATAAAATCACACTGAAAAGTTCTACAAGAAACCTGAAACTGGGAAGAATTTAATATAAGATTTGATAATTGGATAATCCATAACAATAATAATAATAATAATAACGCTATGTGAATGACACATTTGATCATCACTCACAATTATTGATATGTATGTAATAACAGAAACATTTAGTAACAATTACAACAAATATGTATGCCCACCTCCAGCAGAGGCAGCTCTTACCTTATTCCTGACATACATGTGGCTTGCTGAGTTATCTCCTACTAAAATGATACTAAGGTAAGGCCTTCTGTTCCCAAGAGCAATTAACGGTTCTGCACCTCGCTGTATCCCCTTCTGGATTTGTTTGGACATTTCAGTTCCTGAGATGTTAACAGCTTCATGTCTGTGGAAACAAAACACTAAGTTCAATACTAGAAAGCCAATAGGCCACGTCTAATGGAATAAATTCATGGCACAAGTATGAACATCCAAAGTTTGACCTTTTTGACTGTATTTGACATTCATTCTTCAGGTTCATAATAGTATTTGTGACTTTGTGAAGGATTATAATTCTGCTTTTACTTCTTTATAGCCTACTTTATATAGGCTGAATGTGTTTACATTACCACAAATTTATATGCAAAATCCTAAACCCCAATGTTATGAGATCAGGAAGTAGAGCTTTTCAGAAAGGATCAGGTCATGAGGTCAGAGCCTTTGCAAATGAGATTAGTGCCAGTATAAGACATCCAAAAAACCTCCTGTTCCCCTCCCATCAAGTTAGCACATAGCAAAGAAAGGAGTCCTCACTCAATGGTAAATCTGTGCCACCTGTATCTTTCCATGTGCCTGTGTGCCATATACCATCTTCTATGGCGAATTGTGTAATTTCCCCATTATTTCCTTATTTTTGAGCTTTAAGTTTTATTACATATCATAGGTGCAAGACTTTTATCAGATGTGTGACTTAAAATACTTTCCACTAGCCTTTGCTTTGGTTTCTCTTATTTTTATATTTGGAAGAATATTTGATTTTGATGTAGTCCAACTTGCCAATTTCTCCTTTAATAGATCATGTTGTGAATATTACATAGAAAATTTTGTGTAAGTCAAGCTCATGAAGCCTTTCTATAAGGTTCCTTCTGAAAGTATTTTGGAGTCGAGTTATATATGTTCCTTATAAATTAGTTCTGTCCTCACGTGGTGAGAGTTCGAGTCAAATGCTTCCTTCTGTATCCACTGAAGTTATTAGACAGACTTTTGTTGTTTGCTTCTTTGCTTGTGTCTTATGGTGGTTGTTTCCCCTTTTCAGTAAAAGTCTGTTAATATAGTGAATCACTTGAATTAGCTTTCAAAGATGAAGCCAACTTTGCATTCCTGAGATAAACCTTACTTGGTTATTATTGATCTATCCTAACCATACAATACATCCATCCAATTGTCCATCCAATACAATATTGTGGGTTTCTTTTTCTATTCTTTTGCTTTTTATTTGTGTTCTTTCCTACCTTCCTCCTCTTGTCATTCTGCCACTAAACTATATTCTGATTCCTTCAATGTTTTTTTTGAGGGTGGGTGTGGCTGGCACATGCCTTTAATCCCAGCACTCAAGAGGCAGAGGCAGGAAGGTCTCTGTGAGATTGAGGCCAGACTGGTCTACATAGCAAGTTCCAATTTGGCATTCCTGCGAATACAAAGGCCACAGTGACAGCTCAGGCCACAGAGAGATCTTGTCTCGAAACAGAAAAAAATATTAAAAATTTTATTCTGAGATAGAGTCTCAATAAGTTGCTCAGGCTAACCCTGAATTTGTGATCTTCTGCTTTTCTGGTACAAACCTCCCAAGTAGCTGAGATTAGAGATCTGAACTCTCAGACCTAGCTGATATTGTAGATTTCCATCTAAAAATTGTTAAATAATTTTCACTATTCATGATAGGTATGAGGTCTGTATATTTTTTATATCAGGGTGATATTGGCCTGTTATGATATTGGGAAATATTTCAACTTCTTAACATTTCTTAGTTTATGCCTTATGTGTTTGGCAGAGTGAAACCTGGAGGTGCTGGAGAAATGGTTCAAAGGTTAAGAACACTTGTTACTCTGGAAGAGGACCAGGATTTAGATCCCAGGACCCACATGGCAGCTAACAACCACCCATAACTCCAGTTCCAGGGTATACAATGCCCTCATCTAGCCTCTATGGGCACTGCGTGCAAGTGGTGCACTTACATCACACAGGCAAAACATCCATACACATAAAATAAAACTAAATATTTTTAAAACAAAATATAAAAATAACTAAATATTTTACTATTGGGAACTACTCAGGGTACCTATTATTTCTTGGCTGAAGTTCTATTGTACAGTCTTTATACATTTTAATAGTTATAATTAAGTAATTATTCTATAATTTCTCAGTAGTAGTATATAATTA